GTTGCACTGCATATTTTTCCATAATTTGGTCCTCCAAATCAGCCACTTTCATCCTTGGTTTCTTTCTAAACTTATCTAGAAACTCTTTAGCCACCCAACTAGAAGTTACTTGCCTAGTTTTGATGTCCCTATAACATGTGTGCTCAGCAACAAGGGTCTTAATGGCAATTCTTCCTTCTCCTTTGATCAAACTGGCATATAGTTTCCAAGGACAAGGCTTCTGACACCTAGCTTCTACTTGTTTCTCATTACTTCTCCAAAACTGAATGTTGCAGCCATTATAAATAGCATGAGTCTGGATGGCATCTTTGCATTGAACAATACTATCAAACCTCATTCCTAAAACAAATTGCAAATCCTTTTTATCACTCTTGGGATCATATATAGCACACTTCTTCCCTGACTTACTCACACCATCACTATCAGAATTCTCTGAATGAGTTTTCACAGAACCATCAGAATCTTCATAGTCTGACTCAAATTCACTGTTAGGTCCATCAGAAGCTTCATCTTCATGAACAAAATCTGTAGGATTCATACCATCTACACCTTGACTTTTTCTGAATATTTCTCTATCCTTTCTGGCAGATAGGTATTCTTCATCATCTGTCACTAGATCACTATCAGATAGGCCATCATCACTGGAACTGTCTCCAGATGGTTCATAATCATCATCAGTTGAATCACCACTGAGGTTGGCATCATGTACACTCTCAGTATTCTTTTCAACTATTTCATTGCCTTCATCAACATACACATAGATAAACCTTTTTGGAGGTAGTAACTTCACCATACTCCTCATATCACTGTCACTAGAAATATCTGTAAATACATCTTTTCCCGGAATCTTGTAACAGATTTTCTTCCAGTCCTTGTAACCCAATTTCTGTATTTCTCCTTTCAAGTGAATGTAAGAAAACTTATCTGGTTGCAATCCATGTATGGCACACAGGTCACCCCCATAATAATCGAATAACCCATCCAAGCTGAGAAACTTACCACCATGATTCAAAAAAATTGTATACTTACTGCATTGGTAATGGAAAAAAAAATGTTTAGAATAAGGATTATAAGGCAAAAATCCCTAATTAAAACAAAACTTTGAGTTTTGTATCCCTAATCCCTAAAAAATTCTAATTGACAGAAAACCCTAGTTATGTATTTCTAATCCCCAAAAATCCCAAATTGAAAGTAAAACCCTAATTCTGCATCCTTGATCCTTAAAAAACCTAATTTAGAACCATAAACCCTAAAATTGCAAAACTGTAAGCCAAAATATCTTAATCGAAACCCATAATTAATAAAATATATGTATCTAAAAGAGATTATAGAATTCAAGGAAAAAACAAATAGCGAATTTCGTATAGAATATTACATAGAAAGATTACCTGTCTGCCATTCCTTCATCAACTGTTCGGTATTGGGACCACATTGGTGATTTTCATATAGAATAAGGCCGATTTGTCTAGGATTTTCAGTATTCAAGCCTTGGATTTGTCGATTTTGTCTTTGAGATCTGAGATTGCTTTTACAGAGGATTTTTTAATGTTTCATTCCTCTTCAATTTCGGGATTTTTATTATTTCTGCACTCGACGTGGAATTTAGATTCTCGTTTTTTAATTTTTTGGTGCAGCCGACGTGTCAAATAAACGACGTGGATTTTATTTTGGCATTTTTCTCGTTTTTTTAAATTCCAGATGTGTATTCCGGCAGGCCACGTCATTTAATTGGTGCCGGAGATGAAAGTCGTGCTTCGACTTGCAAAGAGATGAAAGGTCATGTACTTAAGTGCTAATATGAGAAGGTCGTGATTAAAATGCAAAAACATAAAAGGTGGTGCTTTTATATGCAATTTTGCCTAAATTTTAATATCAAAATTAAAATATGTTTTAATGAATTTAAGTAATAATATATATAAATATAAATTAAAATTAATAAAACAAAATTTATTTAAATATTATTTTAATTATGTATGCATGAAATAAATGCCAAATGCCAAACCAGGCCAACTGATGAACTTTGCTATCTAGTCAGGCATACCAAAACTGAAATTCAAATACACATCACAGAACCAACACTAATAAGATTATAAGAGCAGCCTTAAACTACTAATAAACCATTAAACCAATACAAAACCAAGTCTTTAAACGACTTAACACTTAACAGAGACCGAGGGTGTAAAATCGGATCAAAGCTTAACAGAGAAAACAAATGGGGCATAAAAATCGAGTAATTTATTGATGAGGGCCTTAACAGAGATGGAGTGAGCCGTGGTGTCGCTGTGTGGGTTTGTCATGCAGGGCATTACAGGAAAATGAAAGCAATATTCTTTTAGGAAACAATTACCACAGTATGAACCCCTTCAGTCGATGAGCACTCAATCTCATAAAAATAAGTACACTTTAATTACCCAAGTTCATCGTGCAATGCAATGCAAGCAACTAATCCAATAGATTTTAACATCCAATGATCATTTATTGGTTTGACATTCATTTAGGTATTATATATACATTAGATCTTATGAGCCAAATGCCAAATTAGCATTAATATATGATGACTTGAAGTCTTGAATCCTATTCTATATGTCCTATAAATGAAGTAACTTATGATACCATTATAAATCAAACTTAAGAAACGCGGAAAGAGTAATGAACAATCATATTATCACCCCTACCGGCTATTGATCTCATTAACCCGACGGTTAATGGCATTAGAAAGAAGAAAAACACAAAAATCAACAGAAGGGCAGCAAAGCAAAGTCATAAATAACATGCTTACATACATTAAGCTAAGCCTCCTTCCATTTCAACAGGAATCTAACTTTCTTCCCGTCGCTCTCCGGGCTTGCAAAAGCAGGAATATCAGAGCAAAACTCCCCTGTCAGAAGTCTCCACACACCAACAGCCTCGTCAGCAGGAGCCTGCACGTAAGCCTCCTCGAGACCATGCAGACCATGAAAAAAATTAGATGGGTACGAATAGTGCCCCTTCATTCCTCGCTCGATTATCTTGCAAAGGAAAACATTTGTTACAACGTGCTCATTGCGAAATCTCTCCGCATTGAGAAATATCCCCACATTGCAAAATCTCCCCTCAAGAAGTAGATGTTGAGTTATGCACTTTGGGCGGCATAACCGAAACAATCCATCAAAAAGAGCATAACTGGTTAAAGACATTAGATATTTGAACTCTATCGTCAAATTCTCGACTTGGAGTGTGCAGGGTAAACCTTGTAAGTGCTCCATCTCGTAGTCAGCCCTGTCCAAACGGTTCACTTTGAGAGTAAGATAAAGTTTGGATTGGCTCAGCTGTGTCAAGAACTTACTCAGCCCAAAAAACATCGAAGTATTGGGATAAAAACGGCTCATGGTTACATGAGACTCCCATTCGGTTGAAGTCGTTTCAATAAACACGCGAGGAACTTCAGAACTTTCATTTTTTAATGTAAATTTATGAATACATGGAACATCAAACTCAATCGCCAACTGGTGACGATAGGGTACAACATATTGTAAACGCTCAAGCGAGTGGATAGAAACTCTTAATTTCTTTTCAGCTTCATTGTGATAACAGAGGTACGACAACGCAAGGGTTAGATCTTTCAGGGAAGGAAATTTCGACGACAAGCAATCATCACTTAGAAACAAGGCATCGGCACTCACGTTGCATATAACCAGACACGTCAGCTTATAACCACATATCAGAGCATCATAAAATGTGGATTTCCAATATCCTCCTTTAAAATCAGAAATTTCGGTCAGAGACAATTTTTCAATCAATGGACAGGCCGACCATATTTCTGAAACCACACCAGGGTTGATATTCACATCCTTCAAGCTAAGGTATTCGAGCTTCGAACATCTTACCTTTTGATCCAGAGCCAGGTCGTTAATCCTGTAGCCCTCCACAGATAAGCCGACGAGGTTCTCAGCTCCCAACACCTCACGCGGCAAAAAGGGTTTCCATCCACAGAAACCTTTAAGCTTCAAATCGAGATGTTTGGCACCCAATCTCAGTGCTGTCAGGACCAAGTCGTAGGAAAGACTAAATGCTTCCCATTCAGTCCGCGGCTCGCGCTTCAGGAAGAGCCTGAAAGTCTCGATCCTTAGGTTCGATTTTACGTACCTTTGGATGTGCTTCTTCGCGAATTCCGAGAACTCTTCTTTCGTTGTTTCGGAGGGATCGTAGTCGTAGCGGTTGTAGTTTGGGCGGCGAGTTTCTCTGAACTCGGTCTCGTCCAAGTCGAGGTTCGGGCGAGTTAACCAGGCACTGTGCCAGGATTTTGAGATAACGGTTGTTCGAGCAGCTTCTTTGGAGGTGAGAAGGAATTGGATACGATGGATTATAGGCTCCGGCAACGGAATTGTTTCGCGGGGTCGACCCATTTTCGCAAAACCCTGAAAATGAAATTTGAGTTTCGACGGAAGTAATTTATAATAGTCGGGCAATAAGTGAGAGTTTCACTCTTGTTAAACATTGGAATTATATATTGTGCGGAAATAACTTTACCTAACTAGTACGTCTAGAGAAAAAATCAATTTAATTATACTAAGAATTAAATAACTTTAAATTCAATAAAACAAAAAATTTAAAATAATTTATCATATATTATGAGAAATTATATATTGTGCGGAAATAACTTTACCTAACTAGTACGTCTAGAGAAAAAATCAATTTAATACTTTAAATTCAATAAAACAAAAAATTTAAAATAATTTGTCATATATTATGAGATGAATACAAAAAATTTAAAATAATATATCATATATTATGAAAATTTCATCGTGCAAGGCATTATATAATAGTTGCGACACGTGCAATGCAAAGACAACATATTTAAAGTGGAATCTTTAAAATCCGAAGGGTATTAAAATGTGAAGAGTTATTTTACCTATGAAAAAATATATAGCTCGCCAACAACATGGAAAAACCATCCACCCTATATATAACTGTAGAATGTCTTGAGCTTAAGTGACATGCTCTCATGTTTCAGAATCCTGTGTGGCAAAAAATCATGCTTCAGATTCGGACTTTGATATAAATTAATATTTTTTGATAAAAAAAAAAAAGTAGGTTTGAATTTTATTTAATGTCTATATCATTTATATTAAATTCTAATTGATCTCTTCCTTCTTTTCTTCTACAATTACTTACCATAAACCATTTTAAGTTTCCTTTCCTACATTACCATATATTACATTTTATTTTTTTATATGCTTACCAGACTAGTGACGTTGGAGGAGGTTATAATCAATCATCATATGCTTTATAACCATACCATGAATGATAACTCTAACTAGCTAAATAAATGTATGTTAAACATATACTATATTGCTCCTTGATTTTCTACCCATTGTTGAGCAAATATTTATACATTTGGTCGCTCCCGAGGTTCAAACTCGGGCCAAAACCTCAATTGACAAGACTTCAAACTACTCTACCACAGTCATTGGAGAGTATATGTTTACCACACATTTATTTAAAACAATAAGAACAGAGTAAAACTTTATCAAACAAAAAAGAAAATTCAAAATAATCGAAAAATAAAGTAAGTATAAGAAAATATAATTAAAATAAAAATAAAATTGAATAAAATCAAATTTGTTATTTAAAATAATAAATAAATAAGATTATTATTTAATATAAAAATGAAAGGATACATTTTTCTAAATAACTTAAAAATGTAAATATAAAATAATTTTTAATATAAAAATTAAAATATATTTTAATTAATTTAAGTAATATAATATATATAATTAAAATTAAAATAAATAAATTAAATTTATTTAAAAAAATTAAAATTATACTTTTAATTTTCTAAATAAAATATGTTGTATTCAATATCTATATATGATTTTTATTTATTTCCTTTATTTAGTTTTTATATTATTTTACCTTTTTTAAATGTTTTATAAATATATAAAATTATTTTTTCAGTAAAATTCTTATTTTTGTAATTTGTAGTAAATAATTTAATACTTATTATTTATTCAATTTATTTACTTTAAATTCTATTAAATGTATAATAAAACAAAACGTAATGTTTATAATTTAAAAATTTATTAATTAAAACATCAAGTATTCTTCGTTATAAGATTTAAATTATATAAATGAGTTTTTTTTAATTTATTTATTTTTAAATCTGAATAAATATAAAGATTTATTCAATTATTAATATTATTTATAGCTTATAAAATACTTAGTCGATTCATATATTATTTATAATTTATAACATATTTATTTAATTATTATAGTATTTATAATTTAGAATCTATTTGTTTAATTATTATATTATTTATAATTTAAAATCTACAGAAGTGACCTGAAAATAATAGAATCACACTTATTAGATTAAGTCAGATGTCACTTGCTATAATTTTAGATACACAAATAATCAAATTTGTATGTTAAATTTTAATCATCTGCAATTAT